TAGGAAAGGACTCTACATGCAGGCAGTGTTCAGATACATACTTTCCTCACATAATGACTTCCTTTTGCCCATGGTGCTACTGCACACAACCAACTATTCTGCTTTTAGGAAAAAGCAGAGGTTTCCTATGCAATCTGAGCCTTCCCATGCTATCTGGGCACTGAAACAAGTTATAATGGCAACATTTGTTGAATCTCAAATGTATGAGAAATCCTAAAATCATTACATTAATTGCAGGAATTAAAGACCATCCAATTATGACAAATATCATCTTATTTTCTCTAGAAATATTACAGTGTAAACTTTTGACTGGAAGATTTTTCAACCAAATACTACAGGTCTTAGCTTTAATCTCCTCAAAAGATGATCTTCATTACTGATGCAAAACACATGCCACAGATTTTTACCTTACAACTGTGTGATCAACCAAGCTAACTGCCTTTTAGAACTATGGCCCAAACAAGAATCTAAATATTATTTTATCCATAAAACTTCTGTTGTGCTATGAAATTATCTGGAACATGAGGCAAACATACAACAATGAACCAAAATAGGAAAAAAAAATCATGTAATTTGTTGCAGCTTGTTCATTTGTGAACGGCAATAAGAACAGTTGCATATCCCAAAGTAATACTCCTGTACTTATCCAGCTCATGTTTATGAAGTACTTTAAAGATGAAAAATCCTCAAAGTGCACAGCACTTGCTATAATGAAAGAAAAGACACAGATATAAAACAACACATTGCTGATTTCTTCTATCATGATAAAATACAAATCTTTACTGATTTATCGTCAATATATCTCTTTTTCTATTCAAACACAGTAACTAGGATTGAAAGCTTTTGAAACTATCAATATAGAGATAATTACTGAAAAATTAAGTACCGATGAAGCTAAACGTGCAATTTATAGAGTACTGCTAGATGGGAATACAGAAATAATATTTTCTTCTGTGTGGTTACAGAACTGGGCATTTCACAGTACCTTAAGTATTGTCTGTTATACAGTGCAGAAATGAGTAATAGCAACATACCCAAACAGTTTGAAAAACGAGCATGCTGTTTTTGAGAACAGCTGCCTGAACACGTCCGAAGAATCCACCTACGATGTCCTACACACACCACAGTGTGACAGACACTGGCTTGACCCTGGCCCCACTCAACGGCAACACTTCGAAAAACTTTGCTTTGTGCAGGACGAGACACAGGAATGGTGCAGAAGCAGCATAATGAAGAAAAGCAATGATGGTATGTATCTGAGTGAAATAAAAGTATTTCTGTTTACAGACCATGCTACCACACCGTCATATACCACATTTTGGCTTGAACAGAAACAAACGTTATTCAAATGGCACAGGTTTTTACAAAATCTTCATGGGCAACTCTCTTTGTACGAGGCTTCTGCCAGAAATGGGTCACTTATGTTCTCATACAAGCCAGCACTTAAGGGCGGGGGGGTGGTGGGGGGGGGAAGGTAAATAAACACACAAAAAAGTTCTCATCCTTCTCTCCAAATGATTTATCGCTGCCAGAGCTCTAATCTAATTTTAGGTGAGCTCATCTTTTTTTCTGCCCTGGAGCCATTTTAACTTAATATTGCTCTCCTTCCAGAGCCACGAGAGAGTACAGGCTCCCTTAGCCACCACAAATGCTGTGCTGACATTTTACTTTAGCTGTTTGCTGTAAAAGTCATCAATATCACTCCGCTCCTGAAGAGACCTTTTCTAAGAAAAATGAAAACAAATTGCTGGCATTAGATCAAACTTTGACCTCTGCAGCCCAAAGTGGGGAAAGTAAGATCTGAACTCCTTGCTGCTGCTTTGAAAGCTTCCAAAAGCTCCTCCAAGCAGGCCAACTTTTTTTATTTTAATAAAACATTTTCTGAGCTGCCAGGCTGAGGCTGCCTCCCTGTTCACACTGCCGTATGAGCCAGCCGGCAGGTACAGGCAGACAGCCTGGGCTCCCACAGGCCTGCCTGCACTGCAGCCATCCTCTCTCCGAAGCAGCAGCAAGTGTTGTGAGGTCTTTGGGGAAACCATTTCAGAAATCATCTTTTCATCTGCCTCCTTCCCATCTGTTCCCCCTTCCCATCCTCAATACTCCTGGACCTGCACTTTGTTTCACCAGCGCTATTCTCCTTCACGTCTTCATTTTCCTGCCCCTAGTTATCCCCAGCTCCTGCACAACCTGCTCACGTGCTGATCTGAAGCTAAGTCTGCATGGAGAGGGAAACTGCAGTCTGAAACACTCGCTTGTTGATTGCTATTTTTCAGTCATGTACAAGTTTCTAGGAAGATTTAAAAGTTTTTTTGGTGTTTTTGTGTTTCGTTTTACTAAAACTGGTTTCTGAAGGAAAAATAGTGTGATTACTCTGCCAGTTTTCCCTCAAATAACCCTCAGAGTAACTTTTTGAGCTCATCGTCTAATTTCTATCACATTTGACATACAGATGGAAGCTGCAAAGACATGACATTTCTAAAGTTTCATAAAAATCAGTGGCTTGAAAGAGGAGAGGCGCGCCCCAGCTCACCTGCCCTACTGTCAAAAGGCTGCAGTACGAGCTAGCAGTTATTTGCTCTGTTTAGGTACCACCAGTCAATCTGCTGCGGTGCCATAACACTGTCTCCAGCCCAGCAAGCAGCTACTGGGCATCAAAGAGGAGCCAAAAGAGATGAGGATTTTGCAGGTGGGCTGAGGCCACAGGGCACACGAGCAGCAAAACGTATGTGTAGGCAGGCTGACAGGAAGAAAAGCAGATGCAGAGACACTGGGCATGAAACCACCTGAAACCATCACGGAATCATTTGATTTTTTTGGTGTCTCAGTGCTTACAGTGAACCTCCTGCAGTAAATCTGTAGCATAAATAATATACTTTCCTATACTTCAATTTCTCTTTTATTTTAGTATAAATTATGGGACATTTTGGAAAGCTAGTTATCTTCCAAATGCCAAGGGATGCAGTGGAACATAAATTCAAAAGGTCCTTACACCATTTCCAAGAAAAGATCTGTAGGAAACAGAAAGCTGCTTCCTGGCATGCCTATCACACGCTCGGACGACGACTATGGGTATCTGAGGCCAAAGGGATGAACCAGCTTGAGGAATCTGTTCCCAGCCAAGTCTCAAGATCTGAGAATAGCTGAATGCTTAAAATCATCGCCACAGCAGGGAGTCTAAACCATAGTCACAATGTTTTCATTTTTAAACGAGATAAGAATAATGTTTCCAACCGAGCAGGCAGCTGAAAGAGCGAATTGCAGAAAAAGACTGACGCGCTAAAGATTTTACACAAACTCCTTGACTCATGTTTTCCAAACATGTAAGAAAAACGATGCAGTAAACACAGAAACAAAATTAGCATTTGCATCTCTGCATTGTCTGTACTCAAACATAACAGCTCCTGTGCTACAATATATCTTTAAAACTAGGATTTCCTCAGGATCAAACAGCTGGATCTTCTCCAGAACATCACTCAAGTGCTTCAGACCATCTCTTGTGCACTTCATTTACCATAATCTCCACTATGCTATGGATGTAGCATTAAACCGATAAATAGGTTTTATAACAACACAGTAGACACAGATAATGTCATCTAAGTTGATCTGCACTTAGATTCAAAGACCCGCTATAAAGAAATAATAAATATGGTACCAGACTGTCAGGCAGAAGTCAGAAGACACAGATGACCTTTGTGCAGTATCTCACCCCTTTCTCTCTCAGGAATGTATAAATACAAAGTTATGAAAGCAGTCAGCCAGCCACCATGACACTGACCAAAACACCACTCATTTTATTAGAACATAGGACAGCTTAAAAAAAAAAAAGTAATCAATTGTTTAGTTATAGCTGTGTTTGCTATGTCTTTGTTTCCCTGAGCACCTGAGAGAGCATGAACAAAATTGCCAGCAGTCGCATTACAGAGACAGGTTGACAGGCTGGATGACCCCATAAGTCTTGTTCACGTCTCATGTCTGGGCTCGACTTGCATCTTAAAAGACTTTCATATCAATGCCTTTGCAGGGAACCTGCTTTACCATTCAGAAGGGTTTCTGCCAAACCCAGACGGAAAGATGAATGCTTTGTCCTACCTGGCACATCTGTAACTGCAAGCCCTACCGGGAAACAACACCCCACACACACCTTGGAGTTACTGTTTGAGACACCCTGTGAGAGGAGGCGTGCACTAAAGAAACAGACAATCAACAACTTAAAAAAAAAAAAAATAAAAAAAACAAACAGACAATCAACAACTTAAAAAAAAAATTAAAAAAAAACCCTCCAAAACCAGAACCACCATTTATTCCCTTGAAACACGAGGACCCTTTCATGAGCACAACCCCTGCCCTCCCCCAACACACACCAGCCAAACTGCCTACATCCCTCTTACTCTGGTGTCATCAGTAGTGGCATGACACAGCAGGAAAAGAGACCGGTTCACTGTGAGACCTGCTACTCACTCTCTTACAGTGTAACGGCCCCCCTTCCAGCTGCACGTCGCTGCGGGGAGCTGGTCCCGATGGGCACCAACCACACGGACCATCTTGCCGCTCCTCGGGCTCAGGGAGAGCAGAAGGTGGTGGAGCAAGATCGGCCCCTTCTGCATCACTGCAAACCTGTCCACTGTGTAGAGAGTCTTACAAACGTTTGAGGAGTTTGCATGATGAAGGACAAACTGCAATGGTTGGCTTGAACATGCAACGTGACTGCTCAGACCAGTACCCTCCCAGCGCTCTCTGTGCCCCATCATGTGGAACACAGACACTGAGGACACGGCACTGCGTATAGGACAGCAGTGGTGGAGAACACAACCTTCACTCTTCCATTGCTCGGTATCTCCAAGCAAAGGGTTTCTCAATTTGTAGTTTTCACCGTATTTTCAAACAGAACAACGACCAGTTTTCTCCTCCATTGTTCAAATCCGAAAGTAAAATGCAACCAATAGGTTTCACCAGCAAAGGCACTACGAGCAGCTGAAGAAATGAGTAACAGATGTAAATACCTGCTTGCTGTGCAGTCTGTGGGATCTGTTGACTCCGCTGTGCATTGTACTGAACTGAGGCAATGGGTCTGTACTGCTGAGTTGTTGAGGTAGGGTACTGACCAGATGGGTAATAATACACTGGCATCTGCAGAGAAAGAGAGAACAGCAGCTAACTGCATACTCTAAAACTCAAAGATTCACAAAGTAAAACAAAACTGGAAGGGGAGCAAGAGTTCAAGTCAAGCATATTAGTGGTAACAGTTATCAAGAGGAGGGGGTTTGCATTGTGCCTCTTCAAGAACTGCTGTTTGCTTTCAGCTTTGCTAGGAAATTTGGGCACTGATAGGCCTTTTCTTCTCAGATACTTTAAAAAACAGAAGAAAAAGAATTTTAATCGAAAAAGACAAAAACGTACAGGATGCATAAAAAGCTACATGTATATACCAAAAGAAATCACAGTAAAATATCAAATGCTGCAGAAAAATGGATGCAAACACCACCTTCCATATCAACATAACACATATAGATGGCTTGTTAAACCATTAAGTGAACTCTGGAGAAAATAGTCAATTTGAAGCAAAGAATGGCCTAGAGTAAAAATATATAGAAGTGAGATAGAGGAAAAGATGCAGTGTGTGTGCCCTTAACACTCGTAAGAAACGATTATTAAATTCACGCTTTTGTTTAACAGCTACATCCTTCCTTACAGCAAAGTTTCCCTGTAAAGCTTCTCTCGCACTTGGTGTGAATATAATTACAGCTCAAAAAACAATCATAGTTGTTTTCTTGCAGGAGCTGAGGGTAGGCATTGAGTCAGCAAGTTCTGCCAGGTGGGCTTCTTTTTTCTATTATTATTGTCATTATAGAGTACCATGTACTACATCACCTTATCACGTAGGTGAACACGGAAGTTTAAAGGTGACTGGAGCTAAAGATTTTTCCTATACATCCTATACCACCATTACTGAGACATTTGAGCTAAGCACTTTTCAAGTGACCCTTGGCAAGTTCAAAGCACTCAAAATTTTTCATTTTCAGCTGCAGTGGATTCTGTGGGTACGTGACAGAGTTCAGCAGCATATGGTATCAAACTGCAGAGGGCACAGGCTTGGGAGAAAGTTGCTCCTCTCGTGACTTCTGCCACATCTGTCAGCATTTCTTTATAAATCATACTTTTTTTTTTTCTTTGTGTGTAGCATTTATCCTACTCGGACATATGCACGCAGTCACACCAAATGCTTTTGGTTTTTTTTTTTCCCTCATACAAAAATAAGAACTATTTTTGCCACTTTTATTTGCATGGAGGAGATGTTCCTGGAACAGCTCATTCAACTTGATTACTCATAAAGTAAAGTATTAGCAGAGTAAAGGTAACTGCATCCTTTTGTATACTGGTAAGACATCAGAGATCAGAAATTTTCCTACAGACGATGCCAGATGAGAAAGAACAGACATAGATACAAAAGACTAGGCAAGAAGAGGGTACGGATGGCTAATTTGGCAAGTAGAAGACTACTGAATGGGTAGCTGTGGTGGGAAAAGTATCAGGATCAACAAAACTGGACTCAATGATGTTGGTGAAGTGAAACCCCCAGACCGACTGACAGTCAATATCACCTGTCAATCAAGAGATCGAATACCCATTCATTCTTCAAGGTCTATTAATTTTCTCTCGAATCAATGGAAATCACGTAGCTTTTTTTTTCCTTCTCTCTCCCCCCACCCCCCTCGGATAATATCAGCCAGATTCAAAGAAATACCAGAAAGACAAGAACATTTTGATTGGAAAACGTTGTAAGCTATCCTCCCTCCAGACAATACCAAATGACACCTAATGGCTACAGCCTGCCTTCAAGTCATTTGTTTTGTTAGAGACTAAAGTAATAAAAGCAAAACGCCTTTGTAAAATGGACAAAACCATGATGAATTTGCTTCTCTGCAAAGAAAAGCCACAAGGTATAGGAAAGTTGACCCAGACATTTCAGGTGCAAAAATCACTCTTTAAACATCATAGCAGTGTAAATAAGGGATCAGGCAAGTTTAGTGTGATAAACTCCTCTTGCAGAAACCTCTACAATAGGGGACTCGAAAGAAGTGAGAAGACTCAGCCTAAGTAAAGTCAATGCAAATAGTTGATCCTGCCTTGGAGCATCCTCTCAAATACTCTTTATTTCCTCTTACCATATTCTACAAATTAAAGTATATTAAACCCCTGTGGAAATACTCTCACTTCTCCTTGCTGCAGCTTAATTTCCTTAAAGGATTTAAATTTATTTGATTTACCCTCAGCTTCCTCATTTTCCTTGTGCAGACAAGTCCCTAGATATTTGAAAATAAACGAGCATATGAGAACAATGTGAATTATCTCTTGTGGAAAGATTCTGTAGGTATTAACTTTAAAACATAGCCTAAAGAGTACAGGTTTTGAAGTGAGGTTTATAGCTGAACATGCTTAGCACAAAAACATATACGTACACTGAAGCATTCAGAGTAATTTGGAAACAGGTATTTATTTTTACCACACAGATAACACCTCAGAGTTAGTCAAAGGGTTTTCTCCTTTTCTCTCATTTTCTCAGTTCACTGGAATATATTTGTTATATCCCCCCCCCATTTAGAAGCTTATCAGAGTGCAATCTACCAGCCTGAAAAATGTTAGTAGTAGGAGCATTGTGTAAAAAA